CCTAGATAAGCAGGGATTAACACCAAACAATCAAGCAGAAAACCATACAGGTAGTTCTCATTTAACGACCATTCGTTTAACGATGGTTCGAAGTTACGATAGCCTCAGAAAGGGTGTTTTATGGCCCATAAAGCATTTCTGGCCATCATAAAACATCACGCTGCCCCCCCCCCGTGGCCACATGGTTGCATTTTGAGTGCTTGGCAACCAGCTTGCATTTATGACCGGTTGCCAAGCACCCCAAGATTAGGTGATTGTCATTTGCAATCTTCTCTGTCAGCTTCCCCAGAAAGTCATTTGGGAAGCCGGCAGGGAAGGTTGTAAGTGGAGGGGATGGCAGGGAGCTGAAATCCTTCTGTGGTCTGCAGAAACAGAGCTCAAATCCTAAAGATTTGACCTCCGTTCCTGCAGCCCCATGAAGGATTTCCCCTCCGTGTACGGAAGGGAAGGGAAACCTCTCAGCAGTCTGCAGGAATGGAACTCAAATCCTGAAGATTGAATTCCATTCCTCCAGCCTCACGACAGATTTCCTCTCTGTGCGTGGAGGCGAGGGGAACCCCTCAGTAGTCTGCAGGAATGTTTGAAAGTGAAAGGGCTGCTTGCCAGGGGGATTTCAGCTCTGAACAGAGCTGAAATCCTTCAGCTGACAGCTCTTTTGTTCTGTCTGCTTAATGGCCTGGGAGATCGCTCAATGACTGCAACTGGGAATGCTTAGATTGCGGTAGTTGAGCGAAGCAGTCATGTGGGCATCTCACTGAACGACTGCTTCATTCAACAATCGAGATTCCGGTCCCAACTGTGGTCATTAAAGGAGGACTACCTGTACCCTAATCAAGGAACTACCAAGGAGGAAACCACCCCCCCACCAACACTGGTAGGGCAAGCTACTGTATATAAACAGGGAGTAAACCCACACCTACTAGCACTGATGATGTTACCTAGTCAGGTAATGAAATGTCTGCAAGCAAACAACCAAGCTGAGAGAGCACCAGGACTCCACAGTTCAACCCTGAGCTGCATATATTCTCTTCTACTGGAACAAACTAATAGCTAAAATTTGAAAGTTTTGAGGTAATAAAATTGTTAATTGCTTGGCACTATACGACTGGGAAGTCCATAAAATACATTTAACTCTCAAATATATCAAGTAGAGCAGTACTGCTTGGAATCAAATATTTGGAGTGCAGTATACTTAAGATAAAAGTGGCATTTATGGCCTGCACTATCTCCTTGAAACTCCAATATACTACAGTGACACAAGTACATATCTCAAGGTGCCAAGAGCTCAGTGCCAAGAAAATGCTCAAAGAATGGCCTTTTATCAAGACAGGCTTCAATATTTTGGAGCTGACTTTCTGAAGAAAGTATGCACAATTTCATACTATAATTCAGACTAATTTTCTAATGCCCGGCTGGAAAGCACATTGCAAAAGAAATACTGAATAACTCAAATGTGGCATAGATCAAATATAAACCTTCCTTCTTCTGCTGCCATCTTCTCTTTTACTTTCCAGGTTCTACAGTGTATTTTAAAAAACAAGTAGGTAAAGAATAGTTTGAAAAAGAAAAATTCTGCTATTGAAATAGCAAATATTTCTGTAACTTCATTATAATATATTCTGTCAGGCAACAAAGACCAAACTACTACAAAATTCCACGTTCAAGTCTTGAGCTAGGATATGCTTCACAGTAACAGCTGGTCTTTATAGCATTCAAAGTCTCACAAGCTCAGAGACAGAGCCAAAGGTCCTCCAAAGGAGGTTATTTCTGATTCTCTTTCCATCTGCACTCCAAACATGCTCTCTAGAAAGCTGCTCAATCTTCTTGAGAGTCTTTCAGGGAGACTACAGCCAGGGGAGAGTTGTGCATGCTACTTGTCTGTAAAAGTATCTTCTCCAATACCAAACAATGAGTGGTTTTTGTTTTTTTTTTACTTAAGGCAAAGTAGTTCCTGAGCAGGATCAGACCAAGCTGATCTAAGTTAAATATTTTGTTTCCAAACAGTGGCTGGCCAGATCATTCTGGAAGCTCCCAAGGATGATACCTGTTCTTTAGTCCCATTTGATAATCAGATTACCCCACAGGAGTATAGCTGTCCAGATGTTATTGCACTTATACTTGCATTATCCCTAACCAGCATGCCAATGGTTACCAATAATGACAATTACCCATTGTCCAATAACATTTGAAGTGCCACAGATCTCTGTCCTTACTATGTTGACTTCCAAGAGTAAAATTCATTTAGTAATCAAACTCGGCATTGATATACAGTACCATGTCTTGACTGTGTATCCCCGATGTAGCTCATGCAGAGTTACTGGCCATTTTTGATTCCATATACTGACCTCAGTTATACAAAAACATTTTTGAAAAGAATGATGATATACATTGAACTGAATCTACTTAGATGTTCTCTTTTTCTCTCTCCCCTCAAAGCATAGTCAAGTCTGGCCCTATCATTACAAAGAGTGAAGTGGCTTCGTGGGAGGCAGATGTTAGAAGAGGCTGATGGTCTCAAAGGAAAGGATTGTGTGCCTTGTGTGGCCTATCCAGAATGTCCTATACTGGTTTGCTGCCTTTAGTGTAATAGAGCATGCTGTCCCACAATGCCAGACTTGAAGGAAGAGTAAACTTCATCTTGTACTTGAATTGGGGGGAGGGGATGGCTTCAAACAATAAAACCTCCTAAGGCACACCTGAATCTGGACTGAACTTATTAGTTTTTGTGAGTTTTATTTAGTTTAGGACATAAAGGGAGAAATCCAAAAAGCTTCTCAGAGTTACAGAATGGGCTTGCACTACCTAAGTGGACGTGATGACCAAATTTCCAGACCTTAGCACACAAACTGCTTTTGAAATTCCACTCATTTTCAACAGCAGTGTACCATACTGTAGAGATGATGATGCCAAAGAAAACATATTTTACAACCTAAGATCCAGACTACCCAGCAGCCATGTACGGAATCAAAATTTCTTGCTGTACCTTTTAGAAGGTAGCAATTGTGGTAAATTATTTTTTAGGACATCCTAGCTCATGCGTCAAATTTGGAGGGACTTAATAATCCCTTAGGGCAAAAGTTACTTTGAGCTTCCTGGCTTGGGCTATGAGACTCACTGACGCCATTATCTCCTCAATTCTCATCCAGTCATCTTCCAGGGTTTTCAGTTTTAGTCAATGCATCCAACTCACCTACTTGTTCCAGCTGGCCAGTAGAAGCCACCCAAGAGCCTTTGCCTCCTCTTCTGTATTCAGATTGCATTACAAGAAGATGTACTTAAGGAATGTTTGTTTGTGGCCAGCTGCATACACTGCTAATACGTCTCTATTTTTTTTAATTAAGGGCAATTCTTCACCCCAAAAAAATCCTGAAATGGGGTATTGGAGCCAGAGGGGGGACGTTTAATTCCCCCAAAATGCATATACTTCAAAAACCTGACCTGGAAGGCACAATGATTTTCTGGGACAGCATGAGAGGCTGTAAGATATTATTTTTCACTGAAGGGTTTACAGCCAGTGGTAGTTTCCAGTTACTAAGTGTGGCTCTGTTTTCTAAGGAGTGGCTAGGTGAGTATCATTGAGTGGCCAGCATTGCTTCAAAGGCTGCTGTCCCTTCCCCTCTTCCACTCGTTCTTTCCACTGTTGCACAGGCTGGCAGTGAGAATTTTCCATCACTCAGACTGCCTCTGAGAGCAAGTGCCGGCCTCTGATGTTTAACGTTCAGTCAGAGGAGACCAGGAAGATATTTTTTTAAGGGCAGAAATGAGGAAAGGCTGTGGGCAGATAAACCATCCAAAAGAGGTGAGCAGTTTCTTTTAAAATTCCAAGAATCCGGAACGTTGTGGGACTGTGAAGGTTTCATACTTTGGCTTGGCTTTCTCAATTAAAGGACTGTAGAGTTGTGGTAGGATGCACGACTGGCTGGCTTTTTTACTGGTGGTGGCTATAGCTACTGTGTATAACTTTGGGCTGGATATGCATTCTTACAGAATTAGCAAAGACATCAGCAAAGGAAGGTGAGCATTTCAACAAATGAGAATATTAGCATGTAACAGAACTCAGCTGGGCACTGCTAATTTATACAAGATTTACACTTTATACAGCAATTTGTGTCTTTCTGTTAAGTGAGTTTTTATATTAAAAAAAAATCAGAAATCCATTACCCCAAATGAAAAAACTTATTTATATTATTCTGTATTAACTTCATTACTTTGTAGGTATTACAACTGCCACTGAAATATCAAAGTAGCCCTCCCACCCCCAATAGCCAAGATGGCTTTCTCTCCAGCTTCTCTGAGCTTTCATGAAAATGGAAGAAACTCTGTCAGGCAGGGAATGACCATTCAGGATCTTGGCCTATGTCTTCTAGTGATGCTTTTCCACTGCTTCCTGCAACAATCCCAGTGACCTCCATGGCCCTTAACATGAAATAGTTTTGGAATTGTGCACCGCCCCTCTTCTAAAGGAATGGAAGAGGCTCTACTTTGCAGCAGGAAAGTAACCTTTTGGGAGGAGGGGGCAACATGAATATTCCAGTTGAGATTCACTTTACAGCAGCATTAATCACCTTTACTCACCACTTGTATTTACACATATACTTCTTTAGATAAGTATAGTTTCCTATTCCTTTTACTCCTGTATCTGTTGAATGCCATTTTTTCCTTTCTCCATGTTCCCACTTTCAGTTTCCAAGGTCATTTGGAATTTAGTTTTAGCCTTCAGAGTTTGAAGTTTTTGTATTTTCCACTTTTTATATCATTTAAAATGAATAATTTTACTCATACACTCATAGATTAATTTGAAAAGTGACTTTGAAAAATTCAGTAGTGGATGTGCATGTTTGTGCAACTTATTTACTGTCATACTTTTTGTAGGGTGGCTTCACTGAGAAGGAAATTTTCTACAAACTAAAACTGCAAACCCATCCGTATTCCTAGCAGTGATGAAGAGGGGGGATGGGTTACATCTGTGAATGGATGCAAATAAACTAACATAGACTTACTTGAGCCAGTGCAGCATCTCGCTCTTCTATCAGTGCGTTAATTTCTTCAGCTGTTATTTTCTTTTTCCGTTCCTGGGTCCTGTATATTCGATCGACAATTATAGCTCCAGTCCTCCATATCGCCATACCGGTGTCTGCATTGTTTATTCTGTTCAGTAATTCCTGTAATGTCTACCAACAGCATTCTATGTTAGTCAGACAAGAAGTTTTAATATACTTTATTTAATATAGGGTTTTAATTAATAGGCACATGTGAATTGTAAATTGACTGAGTGAAGTTATTGAATTTTCATACTGCAGCAAAGATGTACATTATTAGTGTGTCAATTCTTCTTTTTCCCACATCTTAGTTCCTGAAACCCACTCAATTGAACTTAAGCCTCTAAGATATAAGACTGACATCAAGAAATCTCCTCAGAGAATGGCTTACCATGTCATTTTCTTCAGGGTTAATATTTTCTAGCCTAGAAAAAAGGACACAGAAAGCCTGATCAGTAGCATTTCCTTAGTGCAGCAAAATGAATTCGCTTTTTAAATCTTTAGAACCCTCAAGTAATTTCATTCTACTGGTCTTTAGAGTCAGCCATGACACCGAACATATTAAAGTGCCACCTGCTCGATTCCATCTTTCAATAATGCTCCGTATCTTCAGCACTGACTTCAGAATGTTAAGTTATTAATGTTTACTGCTATATATGACTACAAGGATCAATTGTTCATATGTGCTTAGATGAAGAAAGTTCCCCAGCGGCAGGGGCACTGAGGTGTCTTTTATTTATTTAATTCTGCACCCACTGAAATACATAAATAAGCCTCCACCAGAAATTATGTATTTTAATTTTATCACATCCCTCATGACAAAAAAACAAAGCAAAACAAAAATCTCTGGCTCCCCAGTCCTATGTCCGAGGCTCACTGTCTTTAGGAAATTAAACTTTCTCTGAAAACTCAAGTCAATCAAACTGAAACAATGGGATAAAGCCAAACACTTGGGCCCCATTTTTTTCAGTTCATTTTTCAGTCTTCTACATGAAATTGCTGTTACTAGCTCAGTCAAAACCTTTTTGCAAAACTGCACATTATTAGCTCAAAACATTTGTACTACCTCATCTCCAAAACAATGATAAGGAAAAAAGGGATATAGCATAATAAAAACATGAACGAAAAGTCTGTAAATAAAATTTAACCTTTCTGGAAAATTGAATTCTACCAATCAGTAAGGCAAGTAATCAAGTTATGATGTCATGCAAATCAGGGATTAGGTGGCATCTATGAGGTTGGAGTCTGCATGACCTAGAAATACTGCATAACATCCCTCAATTACCTATTAATATTGCAGCTAGGGATGGTGCAGTCATTCCGTTGGTGCTTTTATGCAAGCTTTCCTAATTTTGCACTTCAAATGGAAACTCAGTGCACCTTAAAATTACAGATTTTTCAAATTTTGTCATGCCTACAGAAAAATGTAAAAAAAAGACTACAGAAATATATGTATAACTATCATGAAAATAATATAAAACACATATTAAAGAAAACTGCAAAATGTCTGTATTTTGCAAAATAGCATAAACAAGAAAACAGGAAAATGCACATTAACAACTTAATGGATCATCTTGTGATCCCTTTAAAAAGGGTTTCAAGATTAAATGAACTTAATATTGAAAAAATGGGAAACCAAAACAAGCATATCCCTAGCTGCAGATCTCCTTGCTGAGTTTGCAGGTGCTCTGGACATTTTTCTCAGTTTCCAGAGCAGCTTTTTGGATAACAAAAGAAGTATTCAGGTGATCCCCATAAATGTGCTAGCTTCCTATTAAACAATTTGCTTTGTGTTCCATTTTACCAAGATTTTGGAATTATTTATTATTTATTTATTTTATTCATTTAAGCAATTTATATGGCTGCCCAACTCACAGTGACACAGAGCATGTTATATGTAGTCAAAGGAGCGATCCTTACTTTAGGATGAAAGAACAGAAATAAAAATTGTGGTGTATCTCCATGTTCTTTCTGCCTTGTTTATTGAAACAAAACAAAAAAAAAACCCAACCCCAAACACCCTTCACTTCTATGACAAGTTACAAGAGAGAAAAATATTTTGCAGACAAAGTATGTGTCTGTGGAAACAATGAGTGGCATGGCAATTAGCAATGAGATACCATTTTGCTTGTACCAACCCTTATGAAGTAGTGTACAATATACAGAGAAAAAATAGTATATTTCAAATTAACAAAAAACTTTATTTTGTTTCACTGTATTTTTGATGGAAAAGTGGCCTCAAAAGATCTGATTGGTTTTCTATAAAGAGAGACTTCTGACTGGCAACCTTCTAGTCCAAACTCTGAACCCCTGAATGAAATGTGACATTTCCTTGAATTACCTATGCATAAATCAATACTGGTTTCCCTCTCTTACAGATCCAGTCAATCATCATCTTTTCTGTCTCAGCATCAAGATTGAAATCGCACATCAATGATCTAAATTGCAACGACCAGTGTCTTGCTTAAGACCTGTTACCCAGAAATGCAGCTCTTTATAATCATTCCACAAACCATGAACCAAAAATTAAGAGACCATGCCCACAGAGACTCCTCACAAGCTACTTTCACATACTGCAGCTTAGAAACATGTTATGTAATTGCTAAAGAAAACCACCAAGTACTTTCTCCTTTCTCCCGCATATAGCAAATTAGCAGCTAAGATAGTCACTAGAAGATGTGTATGTGTGTATGCATGGAGTTAGAGGGGTGTGTGTGTGTGTATACGCGCACAGTGGCCATATGAAGAAAGGGTGATAGATACCATTGAGCTTTCCCACAAATAATTAAGCAGCCAAAAAGACATTAAGCAGCCAGCATAAAACATGAGATGTGTACGTACGTTTCAAGAGGTTGTTCCAACAGCTTTACTTGTTTACAAGCATCATTTCTCTCCTCACTGGCTAACTTCAGCCTAGCCATGATGGCTTCATCATGTTTGTGTTGTGCAGAATGAATTTCTTCTACCAGAGCTGCAATATAGTAAATGGTTTTATTGTATGAGTATGACCCACAAAGGAGTTTATTTCCTATTTTATAGCTGGTTTTTAACCTCTCCAAATTAATGGATATTTATCCATGGGAGTTAATTATGGCACCTGCCATCTTAATCAGATGTCATATTATTATACCCATATTAGTCAGGACCAAATTAAAATTTTCCAAATTAAATGAATGAATTGTTGAACCTAATGCAGAGATGTTATTTATTTATTTGCCATATTTATATAGCTGCCCATCTCACAATCAAGTGACATTTAAGCATGTTTACTGGATGAAACCACTCAGTGAATGACTGTTTTTCTTTTAAGGAGATGCTGTATTCTACTAAGTGCCAAGCTGGACCTAAAGCTGCCACATAAGAAGAGCCATGCTGGATCAGAGCAAAGGCATACCTAATTCAATAATCTGTTTCCACCTGCAGTCCAACTCCACCCTTTTTTGTGTGTGTGGGGGTGAATTCTAGTAAAAGAAAATGCATAATACAGACACATTGCATGCGTTCTTTTCACCTTGGTTCTACGTAACTGGCTGCTTCTGAGGGTAAAGGGGTAAGAAATGTAAGTTTTATGGTATCCCCCAAAGTTTAAAATAAATCAGTAACAATATTTTTAAAAAACTGTTGAAATCTCATGACAGCTCAGATGCAAATATCAAATCTCTTGTGAGATTTTTGGCATTGTCACATAAAAATTGTGCATTTTCCTGATGGCTGGTGTGGGTCTTCGGGGCTGTGTGGCCGTGTTCTGGAAGTTTTGTTTCCTAAC